ATTGAAGTATATGCAAATATTTTACGGAGCCTGACCCATCTCCATGTAGTTGTATACGAATGAATTAACGCAGTGGAGTAGCGTGGTACTGAGTCTATGCGAGAGGAAAAAAGAATGAAAGCAGCAATTAATGAGCGGAGAAGTCATCATTATGCCCCCACAGGAATTTTGAACTTGCTTGTAACTTTCGCTTTAAATGTTTGGAGATAAGGAGTGGAACACTCTTGGTCCTCTCTATAATTTGTCATCTGGTAGTTTAAATGTCGACATCCAACAGAATTATTGTGATTACACATTGTGGCTTTCATATTAATGGCGTCCGGTATGACGTTTTTTATGTGATTAGCTGCTGGTTTATCAGATAACTCTCATATTTCCAGAACCCTATGCGTGTTTACAATGACCGACACTGCCCTAACTGTCGTATCTTTGTTTGCATTATGATGATTACTAAGATAGAATATCGGTAAATCAGAAGACTACTGTTCTATGATCTCCTATTGAATTGGAAAAAAAAAAAAAGAGCCCAATTTCGTTTGCTGTAAATTTCCTTGCTTTTCAGTTTTTGATACTCAGTATAATATCTATGACTAAAACGACTACACGAGGACTTTTGGATGCAGGCGTTTAAAATGAAACTGACAAATGATACCTGGACATTTTGAAAGGTGAGAAATGGGACACAAGGGTCTACAACTTAAAATTAACTGTTAGATAGATGGTGTGAAGATGTCAAGCATTTCTGATATAATTTCATTGTTGATGCAGTCCAAAACTGCGTCAGCAACCTCAAAGCTAATATCCTTCACTTGTGGCTCAAAATCACCCCATTCATTGATTGATTTCAAGTAATCCGAAGTCAACAAGAATGTGAGGTTTGTCTGATCTCCAGCCTGTTGACCCCACTCTATCGTTTTCTGACAAATGAGGTTACCCAACTCCTCCGCCCCCAATAATTGTTTGTAACCTGTCTGTCCTTCGTCTGTTCCGGGAAAGCTAGCTGCAATCTCTCTCACGCAATCAAATAGGAGTTGCTTTGTCGTGTGCAATGCTCTTTTAGATTTCAACACTTGAGAAACATTTGTCCCAAGAATCTCTTGTAAGTCCATGCTATGTCCATCTCCCTCAGCTGACTGAATCAGCAATCCCCAGAGAGCAGCTGATAATAATGAGTCTTCTGTGATTTTCTTGGGCATAACAACTTCTCCGCAATTCAAAATTCTCTGTTCCGTTCTCCCAACATCATCCTTCACTCTTTCATCTGCCAAACAAGCTGACACATGTTACAAACATGGTTCAAAACAAAAGTAAAAAGGTTACACCTATGCTTGTGACATCTAATAATACTTACTATGTTGGGATAGTTGAACTTTGCGTGGGTGCATTCTTTCCAGTAAAGCCCGGCTGTGTTCTATGTATCTCCGGCGGTGTTTTCCATTACTAGTAGCCTGCTGGCTTTGTTATTGAGAGTAACCAAACTAATTAATATTTCTCCCCTAAAGTAGTAAGGTTCTATTGTTTTCTAGAATGAATAGCTTTTACTTAAGGTAAGTAAGAATTTGAGTTTGTACCTTGTCACCACAATATTGCAAGCATTTGAAGCTCTGCAAGTGTCTGAAATGAAAGAAGGCTTATCTTTATGTGATGATATCCAAGTCTCCTCTTCAACTTCTCCAATCTCCGAGCATGAGTTGAACGAAGTGGAGCTACTAGCAGATGAAAACCTGTCTGTTTCCGCAACCTTCTGATCAACCCTTTCAGTCTCAGGGACACTAACTGCATCTTCATCTCTATTATCAGAGTCTCTGGTTACAGGGGTTTCGCTGTGTGCAGGAAGCTTCTTGTATACAGATGTTAGAACTTTGGAAAATGAAAGAAGAGCCTTTCTCTTCTTGTTTGGCGCACAACTTGCTGACCTCTCCAGGCTCCTGGCTGAATCTCCAATGTTGACGCCATTGCCTCCTTGATCTTGAGTTAAGTTCCATTTTCTAGAACAACCTCTTTCGAAAAGGTAAAGCTCTAGGACGAATGGTTCTTGTTCCTCGTTCAGAAACTCACTAAGCTTCTTCTGTGGCTTAGAGGTTGAAGCCATAATGAGGGCAGGAATTTGAAGGGCTTGAAATTGGAATATATGGGGTGTACAGGAATAGAAGATGATGCTTGCAAAATTGGGTGGTTAAATGATGGCGTGATGATGTGTAGAGAAATAAATTTAGACGGCCAGCATACACCCGTCATATGAGATGTCATAAAGCTTGGGAATTTATTAAAATAGTCCTTGTAAGCTACAAGCTTTCCTCGTCTTGAAAAGGTTTTCAATTTCATTTTAAATGAATTGCACACAATTTTAGGGACCTCTCTTATTGATCTGAGTCCATATTAAATAACAATGGCCCCCCAGAAAAGAAAAATTGTCATATGTGTGGAGATCAACCGCAAGAACAATAGAGGTGATTGGAACAGAGACAAAGACTTGCACTTACGGTGAAGTTCAACTAACATGGTTTTTGAGCCTCTAGCTATTGGTGCCATCGTAATACAAATCCACTTAACTTGTTGATAATTTTTGATACAGAAATTTCATACCTAATCGAAACATATCGTGTTTTTAATAACCAAAAAAAATGTACTCTTCCTTTTACTCGGTACGCTTTATCGTGTGTGAGATAGTATTGCTTGTATATGGATGAGATAATTACTCAGTGAAAGTTAAACCGTCTGGGTCTAATGGCGCATAGTATCGCTAAGAAGGGAGAAAGGAGAAGTCGTGTGAAGAGTGGACATCGTTGATTGGAGGCGGGGATGGCTAAAGAAAATGATTAGATACATAATGCAATAGCAACATTTCTGGTTTTTTTTTTTTTTTAAATTAGAGGAACTGGCACAAATCACTTAAAGGTACAAATAAGATCAAATCTACAGCCCACTTGTAGAGAAATTTTCATGCCATTAGGCTACAAGTCCGTTAACAAATTTTTGGTTAAAAACTTATTTTGCAGCGCAGGTAGGGAAAGGAATGAACATAGAACAAGGACAAAGGGAAAGTAGATTGGACAATTATGCGGGCTTTTTAGTCTCTTTAAGCAGGATTGGTGGAGTTGGTTGGAATGAAATTCACGTATAAATAGGAGCAATGCAATTATGACTTCATAATTTTTAATCATATGTAATCTCTAATAAATGATTTCAAAACGAATTGCAACCACTGATTTTCAATTCTCAGCTTGCAATCAAACTTCAAAGTCTCGTTGGGGATTCTCAGCTGTCTGTATCATCCTCATCAATTCTGTCGTGGAGTTCCCTAATTTGATTAGGAGCTTAAGGGATCATAATCTTAAGATTCGAACAAAGTGTGAAATATGAAGCCGTTGCTGTTGATAACAAGGATATAGGGGGAAAAAATTTAATCGAGAGGGGTATATGCATGCTATGATTTTAGCATCCCGAGGAGATTAGATTCTGTAGTTAATCGTCGAGTTTATTCCTTCTGCCTTGCCTTGCACGATTGCCCAGGTATAAATTCTGAGTTTTGACTTCTTTGGTATTTATTGCTGTTTTCTGATGTAGTTTTTAAATCATCCTCCTCTGTCTTTTATTATAAACAACTATACTAAAAAGGTAATTAAAAATAATAAATGGATAAAAATTAAATTTTTTTAAAAATACTCTTATTTATAAAGGGAAGAGAGTATAAGAAGGAAACTAAAAAAATTATTATAATAAAGAGAATTATGAATGAGAATGAATGCGTGGTGAAGAGAGATGATTGTTTAGAAAATGAGATAATAAATACATTAAATATTAAAATAAATAATTAATGTGATTAAAATTTAATATAACTTGTAAATATTGTTTATATTTAGAGATAAAAAAATGATAGTTATTAGTTATAAAAAAAGAGAAGGCGAGTAACTTATCTTAAACGGCAACGATCAGTCTGCAAAACTAGAAATGCAGAATAAAAGTGTTGGAGCCAAAGACACTCACGTTTCCTGCCAATGATAGACGTCACACTTTTTCCTCAATTTAAGACGATGGAGGGTGTGTCAACAGTGATATTAAATATTATTTCTGATTCCTAATACACAATATTATTTAATTTTTATTTTAATTTTAAACATAAAATTTCAATTCACTTTGTCTTTTATATTTATATTTTTTTAGATAATCCTTCTAATAATAGTAGCTCTAACATTTGATTAACAAGGATATTTTAAAAAAATAAGATCTATTTATTACAAATAACTAACTTAACTTATTTTTATAATTTTTTTAAATTAATTAACTAGCTCTTATATTTAAAAGTGAGTACAAGATATCAAAGCTTCTATAAATCATATCGCCTGTAATTAACTGATGCAATTTATAATATCTAAAATTATTTTTTTGAAATGACCTTACGCTTGTCAGCGAACATTTTTATACCATCAATAATGAGCCAATCAATAAAAATCACAAGTACGCTAATTTGCTGAACAGTTTTGATTGTTAACTAAATAATAAACAAGCCTAATTAATATGACTAATACTTAACTAATCCTTATTACTTTTTTCTTTTGGGGCCAACTGTTATATTTTGTCACCAATGCTAATTGAACTCTATTTACACTTTTCATTTTAGGAGATGGGTGTCCCTAAATTGAACCGCCTAGGTCCGTCACTGCGTGGGGTAATTTCTTCAAAATATATGCCAACCCACGTTCAATAAGAAATTCAGAATAGCTATGCTGTAAAACCAGTGGACTGCTTGTGAAGAGTCTACACAAGGAACAGGACAAGATAGTGAGACACAGAACTAAAGATTTCTTTGATGTTTCTTGATGTGCACAGCCTTCTCACTATAATCTAACATCACCTGGATAAAACTATTAGTCACAATATATATTCGTTAAATTACTAGTTCAAGAAAACAATGAGGCGAAACAGAGTTGATACCATGGTCATGCCCCTTGAACCTAACTAGTTGCAATAAACTAAATGAATCAGTGAGGTAGGACCTAAAATCTAAATAAATATTTCGTGACAGTACAAGGTTAATCTACAATACATAAGAAACAGAAGGCACAAAGGCATTGCCCGTTTACTACGTAACTAGTCTTGAAACCCAAGAGATTTGGGTACTGAGATTGTAGTCTGAGCTCTTAATTTCTCAACCTTGCTCCTAAATTCGTCGTGGAAGGACATGAGTGATCTCTGACGGGAGGCAAAAGCTGCAGTGAACTGCTTAAGCTCTCCTTCGAGATGTTTTCTTTTCAGTACTTCGGTATTCAAGTCCTTCAAGGCATTTTCCTTTTGGTTTGAAACCATTTCAAGTCTATGGGATGAGTCATAGACTATCGGGAGCAAAGAGTCTCTTTCCTCTTTTAAAAGTAGAAACTCCTTTTCCAGGCTATTATATTTATCTTTTGAAGCCTCCAGGAGGCGATTATTGATACTAACCTCTTCCTCTAAGCCCCGGCACCTTTCTTTGATGGAGTTGAGTTCATCGCACAGCGTCTCCTTTGAAATAGAAGTTTCTCCCAAATCAGAGCCCTTCGTCAAAAAGAAAATTAGTTTAAGAAAATCAATAACCTACTATGCTTTTCCTCAAATTCTATCAAGAATGCAGCTCTATCATTTAACCTACGATACTCTTCAAAAAACCGAGTGCACGCAACAGTTCGCACATGGGTGATATTATACTAAAACCTTAAGTCTGCATGTAGCTTCTTGCTGCATAAGATTTCATCCCTCTTTCTGGAAACTAAGAACCTTCCCTATCCCTGAACTGTAGTTCTTTGGTCACAGTCATTTTAAAAAAAGGTTCAGTGGCTTTCTGAAGACACTAATTTAAACCCTATCCAGTGAATGCCTATGAGCTGTCCCCACGTAACAGATCATATTCAATAAAGTTCACTATGACGGTGATGATTGGTTATGACGGACTGTATGCCACAGAAGAGAGCTATTCACCAGATGCAGCAAATGAATCCTCGTACCATTTCTAATAATTTCTTCAAGAGAAACCATTCATTTAACGTTTCTTTGAAAAAAGTCGCGACTACATGTGAATAATCCACAATATGGGTAAGCTTTTTTCTAATATGAAGAGTACGTTTTATTTTACAAGGGCACCATGAGAGGCTTCTCATTAACCTCCATGGATTATTTCCTACAAGTTACATCAAGTATTGACATTCCTCAAGAAATAACTAAAATGAGGAAACAATGAATTCCATTGTATCGTAAAGATATAGAATGAAATGTATGAGGAACTACTACGTTTATTGAGTATTAGTTTAACATAAGCTATTCGACTGATGCCAGTCCTGGCCTCAGGTGTTAAGTGTATGATTCACATTTAAGGCATCAAATTCTGAAAAAGGACATAAAATATCCCAAACACAAGACAGAGAATGCTAGCATAATGAATGATTGGTATCTTGATATTTGTGGCCAGACAACTACCTTAAGTTTGCAGCGGCAACAAGGACTCCTCACTCGTTCCTTCTCAGCGATTGTGCTGTCTGATGATTCCAATGACGTGATTATAGTATTCAGCCTCTCATGAAGCTGTTTTTGTTGTTCGCGGATCAAAGCACCTTTCCCGGTGGAAGACCTGCCATCACACATGTCTACTGTAAAATGAGCTTCTAAAGCATCAAATAGCTGCGCTCCTATTTCACTCATGGTCGAAAGCACTTCCGCAGCCGATAATTTGCCATCTGATACACATCTCTGTTTAAAATACAGAAGACACTTAATTTTCTTTCTCTGGAAAATCGGGCCAAATAAAGGTTTAAAGAAACTGATTTGTTGCAGCTTTAACCTGCAATACTGACAAAACTTCCTCAAAGTTGCCTTTGAAGTTTCCCACGGATTTAGTTAACCTCTGAGGATCTTCCCCTTCTCGTTGATGTTCAGGTGTTATAGATATTGATTGCTTGTTCGGTTCCGCTTCCTCCGAATTCTTTCTCTAGAAGCACATGCATTAACATCAGCCCACAACAAAGGGAGTGATTAGTCAGACAAAGACTCAAAATGCAAAGGCCTCTTTGTAGATATAGATTCCATTTTTCCCGATTCAAGTATGAAGCAAGCACAAGATGTGTTTTCTGTTGGCTGAAAATTATGCTTTATATCTCTATGCCTCGAAACACCACCACGTTGGACATATTATAGTAGCACAACTGCCGTGTTTAATTGTCATGTTCATAGTTGAAATTAGTAGTTCACTGTCGGAGCATTAACTAGTTCATAATTACAATGTCAAATCAAGCAAGTTGTTTAGCTGGTCATTCGGAGTCTCAACTAGTTTATGCGTGCCAAACTTCAATCCATAGGAGAGTAAAATGTAGCTTTTATACAAACCTCGAGTTCATTTATCTTTCGATTGGCAAGTTCCAGTTGTCTCTTCAAATCTTGAACCTCTTGTTCACGCTTTTCACTCAAACAGCCCTGTAAAACCTAAGCCAAATCAAAACGGAGAGCAGATTGTATATACACATTACCAAGTGAGATAATGAGATGGTATCAGTTGGCAACAAAACACGAACCGTATTAGACCTCAATTCTAATTCGCAAAACATCTGAATTAATCATAACAATGAATGATTGAAGGTTTATAATGTTTAAATTTAATATCAACCGACAACTACAGCTAGAGAATATAAGAATTTATCAGATAAAGCAGAGAAAAATATCTGATAAATATCTCTAGACACGGAACACTCTTCTCTGTTGTATCTTCATTTAAATTTTATTCCTCTCGCCGTGTGATGTGGATCGTCGATGAGTACAACCGAACAGAAACGCAAGATATTTATTTATAAAAGAAAGAAATTCACTGGAGTGATATCACGTGCCTGGAATGATTGAACTTGTCGAGCGGGGGTAGCTTGAAGTGAATCAAGATCTGCTACATAACCTTTGTTCAATTTCAGCCACGTATTTTCATCAGCCACATTGCTGAAAGCATCTGGAAGAGGGCTGTAATCTGGCATTGTTGAATAATTTGAACGCGTGGCAACAAAAGCATTGGAAGGCGCCTTTAAACAAGGGGTTCCAAAAATATCTTCTTGAGATGTACTATTAATTTCATTGCACTCTTCCTCAGGACTCTGCCTCGAAGAATCCTGTCCCGTCAGTCATAGGAGTTAATAAGAAGACATAAATATAAGGACCTACAGAGAACAGACAAATAAAAACCTACCATTAAGGGCACGGCGCCTCTATGATAACTTATCAGTAGGTATTATTATTCGTATTATGAAGATCAAACCACAGGAAAGTACATAATTTGTTTCATGAGAAGTTATGAGTGAGTATTAATATATTAATATATTAAATTAAATACTGGGGGCATCTTCTGTAAGAATAAGGGGGAAAGGATAAGAATTCGGAATACCCCTCTTTCAGTTTCAGGCAAATAGTGATGGAATCTGAAGACGTCATGAGAATAAAAATCAAAACTTGTTATTCATACACGCACCTGACTTCCGTTCCTCTCACAATCTGACAAAGAAACAACACCACTGAGACTTCCGACTTTCATCTGTTGCTCCTTAATCCACTGATCACGTGACTTCCTCTCCTCTTCCAGTTCCATCTCAAGCTTCTCACGCTCCAGTTCATACTAGATAGTACAATGCTAACAGACGGTTAAGACTAACAGATAAAATAAGATCATTTAATGCTTTGGCAAGAAAATGAAGGCTAAAAGCCTAAAACCCAGCAGACAAACTCGAAAGAAAAACCTGCCTTGAGCATATCATTCCTTAATTTAAGAATCTCCTGCTCGAGCACTTCAGCATGTGATCCCTGAATGGTAATTCTTTTAGGTAAGATTCCTCGGCCTTCAATACAAAAATATCATCAGGATACCATCATTACCTGAAGTTTCCCACGTAGCTCCTCTATCTCTAACTTCTGCCGCTTTAACAATGCAGCGTCGGTCAAAATCTGTTAAGTCCATATCATCAATTAAAACCTTTGGCCAAGCGGAGCAAGGATGAAGCAATGCAGATTAGGATGCAAACAAAAGCAACTTCCAGAAAGACAAAGTAAAATGGGGATTCATGATTCATAAATTTACAATCCAACATTCTCCGCTTCCCGTCACAAAAAGGATAATTTGATGTGAATAAAGCACACAAACCTCATTCACTTGAACGCAATTAGTGATGCGTTTGGCTCTACTAGCAAATTGAAGAGTTCCCTTTGTTTCTTCAATGTGAACCTGATTGATTAACAATATATTGTAACAAAAAATAAAATTAATTAATCACCAAAAAAATATTACAAGAGTATGGTAAAACTGAAACATGAGGATAAAAGAGCCCACCTCTTCCGGTGCTACGGTGCAAATGATGGAAGTTTTCGCATTACCACCAAGAGCCGGTTGGAGAATACGAGTTAATTTACTATCACGATAAGGAATATGCCCCCTGTTTCAAAAAATTAAAGGCTCAAGAATGGATCTTTTCTAAATTTAATGCGAGAGACAGCTACTTATATACCTTTGCTTTGAACCTTCACTTAGTTTATTTATGACATTGCCAAGAATCATTAAACTCTTGTTAATGTGTTTCCCTTCCTTCAAACGCACTCCACCAGCTCCAGTCTTAGCAATCCTTTCAGACCCAGCTAGATCCACCAAATTCTACTTCCACAGTCTCAATAAGTACGCACCAAAGATTGTATGTATTTATGTTTTTAAATAAAGAAGCTTCATCAAATAACTGATCATTTGCAAATCACTTTAAAAAGGAAGACCAAACGATCGTATCCGTTGCCCGTATCAACAAATTTTAAAAGCAAGGATTAAAGAGTACGAACCAATACTGAAACTCGGACAGCATCACTTGTCATATAATCGCAGGAATTGGAATCCTTCCCCTTGCTTTCTATCACCTGCATATGTGATGTGTATTTAGCATGTGCTTTTAGGGTATGTTGGTAAACGAAAGCCACTTAGTGAAACTCAGGCATTGAAAAGTAGAAATATGGTTTAGTCAGCATACCATCCTAAATATTGTGTGCGATCTGCTACTCCTAGCGTTCATATTTGTCTCACCAAAGTGCCTGTTGACTGGGAGGAAACATGACTTCTATGTAAATATAGCATGTCGGGTAAAGATGGATTGTTAGAATGTGACATTACAAACCTTCCCCTGCTTTAATGAGATTTAAAACTTGTTCAGCATTATTGACTATCTCCTCCCGGAGGCCTGCAACAAATATTCCACGCTGAAGGCAAACCAGTCAGTAAATTTATACACCTTCATAGTTTAAAGTTCTAACTACAAAAAAAAAAAAAAAAAGGTCAGTCCAACCTCCAAACTCTCATGAATTTGCAATTTCTGATTCTCTACCACAAGAAGGTCGTTGATTTCTTCATTATAGATTTCCATGTAAGAAACTCGAATAAGAAACTCACGATCAGATGCCTGAGAATCAATTGGCTCAAAATCAGGCATCATCATGAAAAGAAAAGGTAAATCGAATTCAACAACTCCTGGCAGTACCTACCATCTGAATTTTGCGAAATATATCTTCAACTGCACGAGGAATTAGCCCCGGATCTGTTTCTGAGCCATTCATAGTGTAAGTCTTGCCACTACTGGTCTGCCCATAAGCAAACGCAGTTCCTGCACGCGCATGGCCCAACAATTAACTTCAGCATCAGCACAGCGACATGGCACATTAAAAATAAAGTCCTGTCTTGTTTTAATTTTAGTTGAATATAGCTTGCAATGCTCAGGGACAGAGCAAAACATACCATTGAAACCTTCCACAGCAGCATTTATAATATCCTTAGTAAGGAGGTCGTAGACACTAGCATTTGTGCTGCTTTCATCAAATATGTGGTCTGCAATGAAGGAAAATGGAACAGGAATGAGAATGAGAGAAAAGTAGGACATACTAACTCCATGAGAATGAATTTCGACAAGAATGAGGAAATACCAAAAGCATAAGAATAGGCAGACAAAGGAGTGCCATGAACCTTGTGAAGAGAAATGCGATTCTCTTCAGCCTTCCAGAAATTACCACAGAAGGAATCCTCTGAAATCCGAGGCCGAACTCGGACTGCGACGCAGATCTTCTCCATTTTATCAAAGATCTATCCACGATCCTGGGTTACCTCAAGCCTAATGCTAATTGAATATTTGCCACAAGGCGGGCTGCGCGTCACTGCGAGAAAAGCTTTCTTCCGGATTTGAATTTTCTCCCATTTTACAGATTTGCCCTCGTTCTACCATATGACGTCCACGAGTCTGGGCCGAGCTATTTAGGTCTTCCAAATTTTGGATCTGACATTTTGGGCCTATTCGAATACAGACAGATTATGAACCGTGCTGATTATCTAGGACTTTTTAGCCTTAAGATCCATTTAGCAAGCGAACAGAACTAAGTTTCAAATTCACATTCAGAAATATGTCTATATTTAGTATCTAATAATATTTTAAATAAGATTATTTTTAATAAGAAAATACTTGTACCTAAAAAAAAGTATAGTAAGAATTAGAATAACCATGCTAATAGAGTATTAATACCTTATATATGTAAAAAAAATTATCTGCTTCTTCTCATCAATAAAGTTTTTAATTAAAAATTTTTGTCTATTTTTTTCATATTTTTCAATATATTTTATATATTATTACTCACAGTATTTAATATAAAAACTCGTTTGATTTTTAATTTAATCATTAATATAAGACTCCAATTCACCTGTCTCTTGTGTTTATTGATTTTTTTTGAAGTAGTCATTATAGTAATTGCATATGTTAAAGATTCTATTAAATAGTAGTTCTAATCAATACATATGATTAGTAAGGGTATTCTAGAAAATACAGCACATATTTAATATAAATAATTAACTTAATACACTTCTCTAATCTACTCAAATTAGTTAACTAACTTTTATATTAAAAATATGACGTGGGTGGAACATTGTAAGAATCGAAAGAGTATATTTTCCCATAGACTTGGTCCAACAATCGAACATTTTAATTAGGTAATTGTTTAACAATGCGTCGTCCGTAAAAATCTCATGAATTTATGTAATACTACCTTCGATATTTAATATAAAAGCTCGTTTGATTTTTATTTTGATCCTAAATATAAGACCCCAATTCACTTTGTCTCTAATATTTATGTATTTTTTCCAAGATAGTCCTTTTAACGATGATAGTTTTAGCTAATACACTTGATTAGTAAGGATATTTTAGGAAAGACAATACCTATTTATGACAAGTAACTAACTTAACTTATTTTCTTAATCTCTTCAAATTAGTCAATTAACTCTTATAATTAAGACCGGAGGTAGTATTTATTCAAGTGCTAGCAGAGCAAAGTAGCATGCAAATGAAAGCAGCTTCGAAATTAAAAAAATAAAATAAAAAACAAATGGAGATTCATGACTCATGAATTTATGTAATATTTAATACGTAATCAAATTTTTTTAGGGGGGAATAGAAGGTAACTCCATATAATTTTCCTTTTATGCGCATCTATCATGCCCTTCATAAAAAATATTTTTCCTCATGCATATAATTCTACATTCCCCAGTTTGCTCTCATAAAATCATTATTTTTTTAATGAACAAAACTTACCATTAATATAAACACCATACAAATAAGACATACGTTGATTATAACCACGGGTTTATTTAATAGTTTAAAAAAAAAAAAGGCGGATCTGAGGAAGACAGTAATTTAGTTGTATTTTTTAAATATGTGTTATGTATAGTGGGTAGTAGAATATAAAACGATGAAAATCATTAATTGGACCAAAAAATTTTCCCAACAAGATATAAATAATTTCTTGTAGTTTTTTAAAACACCTTCTTCGGTTTCCACGCTGTAATAAATAATTTCTTGTAGTTTTTTTTTTTGCCATTAACTTGTAGTTTCTATTATAGATTATTATCGATGACCTTTTTTTTTCTTTAAGATTTTGCCAAACTATTGATATTGGACAAGATTCGAGGAGATTGAAAAATCAGTCGCCAACTCGCCTAATCTAAAACCAAGTAAAATCAATTAATATAAAACATGAAATACGAGCACGACCTTTTATCTAGTTTTGAAGGCTTATCCATCTACCAGTCGAAAACGGACATTTTTCGGAGTAAACAAAATCAAACCGTAACTGAAAATCATTACAAGAAATAAAATAATAAGGTTAGGCAAGGGCCAGCTTCTTTGAAGTGATGAAATTTGAAATAATTCAGGCCCCCAAAAAAAACTGAAATTTTGAAACAGGAAAGGTTAGGAATTAAACCACACAAATTAAATATCATTCGAGTGATAAAGTGTTGTCTTATCGATGACAAAAAGAATGAAAGACACGACAGCATTGAAAGGATAATGTAAATAATTAATGTTCGCCGCCGTTAATTATTATTGCTGTGTTCAGTAATAACCTATTAATCTAGCTTGAGAAATCAAGTTATCTCATCAAGATTAGCACATATAACTAAACTTGTATTAATTACTACCTCCGGTCTTATAAAAATAAGACCTCATTTGTAGTATTGATATTATAAGAATATAATTTCTATTCTATTTCTATTTTATTTTTTAGAAAAATAGAGAAGAAAATATTTTGTTGTGTATGAACAAAATATTGAGGAATTATCTGTCTATAAGCGAGAGGCCTTATAAATAAGACCCGAGGTATTAATTAATACAAGTTTGATTATATGTGCTAATCTTGATAAGATTGTCTTATAAATAGGATCTAAGATAATCTATCATGTCAAAATATAGCTCCTCTTTCTTTCTCCAAACTCTGGAACAACAACAATTAATCTTCTGGTAGGTTCCAGTATTGAGAACTTGCTCATGAAGAAAAGTGAGGAACAGAAGCTTGACTGCGTACGTTGTTTGTTAATTATGGTCAACAAGAAAATGAGAAGGGGCCCCAATTGAAGAATAATACTTACGGATGAAGAAGCTGTATATATGTCCTTTTTTTTAATTAATTTCTTCACATATTTTTTTTATTTTTTTTATTTAATGTTGTAGTGGTGAGAGTAATATAAAAGTTTGTGGATTTGATGGGGACTCCGAATCTGAAAATGAGATCCATTCCTTGCACTTGGATGGAAAAGGACCCACTCATCAGAAAAGAGAGAGTAGTGTGACTTTGTGAGGTAATTAAACTGTCCATGGCCTTCAAAGCAAGCACGCATGTTCGTCTTTCTCTTTTTGTTTCCTCAATCATTGAACACGGCAAACACTCTGCATGCTTCATGTTGATATTATCAGATATTACTAATTAATTCACATTCAATTAATCAATTCTAATTCTTTCATGGACGTCGTTTTGTTTTGGGTCGTCTAATGATGTTGAAAATTCTTGACATGTACATATTATCATTGACATGTACATATATGTGTGTGTCTATACAACAGCACTAAATTAATAAGCACTGATCTGATGCGCATTATATTTTGATATACTCCAATATTTTGTTCGTTTTGATGCAGTGTGTGATAACGTAATAAGAACCGACGCAATTACACCTACCCATACAGCTACGTGAGATTGATTTTCCAGTGGCTAGCTTTTCCCTTTTTTTTTTTTTTTTTTTTTCAATTCTACGCGTATCGTCCTGATTAAAGTATTCGCATGAATTGCAAGTGGGATAACACACACACAGTGACGTACTCCGTATGTGTGCGCGCGTGCGCCATTGGGGATTCCCCCCCCCCCCCGAGTGAAGCCAATAGGAATTCTTTGACGAGCATATGTAGAAAATAACTTTGTGGCTGGATGATCAATGTTTAGTACTCCTCCGGTCCTTAATATAAGACCTATTTAACTAATTTGATTAGATTAAAAAAATCAGGTAAGTTAGTTAATTATAAGAAATATGACGCGTTTTTCCTAAAATACCATAATCATATTTCTTAATACTCCATCTTTATCTTCTACTTGATTATGGTTGAAAGAGTATCCATAGGAGTAATCTAGAGATAATTGATAAATATGAGAAATGGGTCTTATATTTAGGACCAAAACCAACTCACCAATTGAGTCCTATATTAAGGACCGGAGGAGTACATATATAGTCTAACTACAATTTCAGTCTTCCCCCTTTTTTTGTTGGCCAACAATTTCAGTCTTCCCATTTAAAAATAACACAACTCTTATCTTTTAATATAATGACATGACAGAACTCAAATGCAACTATGTGAGCATTAATATCTTATTAGAATAATACCTACAATATAAATTTATAATAAGCCACTGCTTAGAGGTAATGAATAATAATAGAGTGACCTTTATTAAATTAAATGTAGAGCATGGGTCACATGATATCGAGGGCTATTTTTTAAACCATCAGGGAGGCAAACTTTTCAATGAGCCATCATCCGCTAATTTTATTATATTTTCAAGCTGTACATGCACAACATTATCATAATAATATACTATGACCGATCTTTAATATAAGAGATAATTAATTAATTTGAATAGATTAATTAAGAAAAATAGTTTAAGTTAGTTATTTATGATAAATAAGTGTTGTGTTTTCTAAAAAATCCTTGCTAATCAAGTGTGGTAGCTAGACATATCATTATTATAAGGATTATCTTGAAAAAAAAGAATAAATATAAAAAGATAAAGTGAATTGAGATTTTATATTTATGACTAAAATAAAAATCAAATAAAATCTTATATTAAGGACAGGAAGTAGTATTTAAAAAAGGGTTATATGCATTTTTGACATCCAATATTATGTTGAGACAACAAGGATTCAAATCCTTTGAATTAATAATTGATCAATAATTTAGAAACATTTTATTAAAAGGAAGATTGTAATCAATTGAACATTGGAAGGGTTAAGATGATAAATTGATACCGCACGATAACAAACTAAGAATGGCTAAATTCATAATGTGATATTTGCAAAATTTCTATCTCTCACATACGCGCATCATCTACATATCCTTCCGTGCATATATAATGGTTTGCTGCTGGAGTATCTCTTACCCCACCTTCATATATATATATATATATATATATATATATATATATAATTGTCAATTTGTGCTCTCATTAAGTAATTATAGTAGCAGCAAAAGGTGACTAGCTGTATTATTTGGATTTTTCGGCATTAAAAATGACACAAACTGC